TGTAAAAATAAGTATTTTATTAACGTATATATTTTTGATCATTTCTGTACATTTGATTATCAAAATCAATTACATTGTTATGAAAGATTTATGCTTGAAATAGCTTCACTTGGCGTTTATTTGTGTTCGGCCAAATAAGTCCATGTGTGGATGATTTATTCGTCTTTATTTGACATATTTGCACCAATAAGTTACACACAAATAAGCGAAAACAAGTATAGACGTGTTGTGATGCCAAGTGTGGATGTAGTGTTTGGGCTATTTGGACTACGTACAAATATTTGCACAAATGCGGCGAATACGCTATGAAAAGTGAAGTGCCACCTTAATGTTAACCTAGTTTTAACCAGCGGTTTCGTCTGTGTGAAAACAATAGTTAGGCAGACCCTGGCTAAAGCTGGGAGGCTGCCAAGAAGAAGAAAACAATACCTATGTTACCTAAGACTCAGTGAAGTGTATAGTCCATGTCATGTGACTTCGTCTGCAATAAAACATTTATTTGATCCTTATAAAAGGAATTTCGGTATTTTTTATATCCTATACCTTACTCTGTTATCTCAGCTACATTATTGTAAATTTTCATCAAAATCTGTCAAGTAGTTTTCATGTTAAAGACCAACATACATGATTACAAAATTTCGCATTTTACATCGTATAGAGCCCATTTATTTCTGTGTTATGAAACAAAAATAGGAACCAATGAAATATGTTTAAAATATTTTGACAAAAATTTCTAATTGAAGACACTTACTATTTATTTAAAAATTTAACGTCTATCTACCCTCCTAAATTTATATTTATACTAGCTTTCCGCCCGCAGCTTCGCCCGCTTGGAGTTCCCTTATATCGCGTTTCCAAGATAACCTTTCAAAAGTTTGGGATAAAAACTATCCTATGTTCTTTCTCAAGGTCAACTCTATGTCTGTACCAAATTTCATTAAAATCAGTTCAGTGCTTTAAGCGTGAAAGCGTAACAGACTGACAGACAGAGTTACTTTCGCATTTATAATATAAGTAGGGATTGATAAAAGTGGACAAAGAACAGTTTTCTTACTATTAGTTCCCATACTCAAGAGTTAACAGTTTGTCATTAATCTTAACGTATTAACGTAGGTTATTGAGTTATAACTTCAAAACTGTTCGTATGGAGTGACGGCGAAAACTTTGAGTAAGCTCTCTTTAATACCAAGTGGAAGTTTTAACCAAGTAAGAAGCATCAGATGATTAGTATAACTACTTCATCATCAGCCTATCAGAGTCCACTGCTGAGCCTCTCCTCACATGGAGAAGATTTGAGCATTAATCACCACGCTTGCTCAAGACGGATTGATGATTTCAAACTTATAATTTGATTATTAGTCCATGTTTCCTTACGATGTTTTCCTTCATCTAAATACTCTTATAAAGTACATATGACTCGGAACAATCACATTGGTACTTGTCAGGATCGAACCCGGGCCCTCGTGCATGAGAGGCGGGCCTTTTAACCACTAGGCCACCACGACCTTTAGTTAATTTAGATAAAAGATTTAATATGTATTTTGTTCCCCACACTCTCTGTAACTGTGCGTGTCATCTTTACTTTGGTACCCAATGAAGCGTTGCACAAGCTTTCACTGTGCATCGTGAATATATCTCAATATAACAAAAAATACACTAGTCCCGGACCGCAGATTCGTCTGCGTCTATATAATTTTATATAAAAGAAAGTCGTGTTAGTTACGCTATTTATAACTCTAACGACTGTACGGGTTTGGATGAAGATTGGTGGAGAGATAGATTAGACATAGAAAGGACATAGGATAATTTTGATCTGATTAAAAAAGAAAAAAATAATAAGTTGATCAAATCCAAAATCTTATCTACTGTCTTTAAGGAGGAATAGAGTTCGTCCGGTCAGAAATGCATATAGAATTATGACTAACGCGGACAAAGTCACGGGCAAAAACTAGTTTATAAATATAAATAAAAATATAACTTCTTTAAAATATAAAAAAATTACAACTATTTAAATTTTGAGCTTGTTAGATTAACATTCATTTGTTTTCCCATTCACCCATTAATTTTTACCCATTTATAATACCCATCTATCCATTTACCCACCCATTCCCGTATTCATCTACCGATATATAAAATGTAAATACATATAGTATATGTATCTCAACATATAAAATACAAGAAACACAATCTAGTTTACGGTAAACGGTTAAAATAACTAACCGTTCGTTAAATAATTAATAATAATGAGGAAAATTAACTTATTACACACTAATTAGTTTGTATTTACATTACAAGTAGATTTTACAAGGACAAGAGTACGAGATGTAATATAATATACATATATATTTGTAGTCAGTGGTGGCCCAGTGGTTAAAAGGCCCGCCTCTCATGCACGAGGGCGCGGGTTCGATCCTGGCAAGTACCAATGTGATTTTTCAGAGTCATATGTACTTTAAGAGTATTTAGACATCACTGATTAATGCATTCCCAAAGAGGGTTGATGTCAGGCAGGCGGCCGGTCGTAAAAACAATGAGCCAAAACTATTCACAACATGTAAAGCAGACCCTGGCTAAAGCTGAGAAATTGCCAGGTAGAAGAAGAAGATATACATATATACGTGTGTGTCTCTGTTTGTGTGTGTCACACACGGGATCCGAACCAACGACCTTCATAACAAGGCGAGAATTTAATACATTTCATATCAACCCAATACATTCATACTATATTTGGTCAAACATGTTACTTTTGTTTTTCAAGCCAAGTTTATTAAACTAGCTATTGACCGCGAATATGTCCGTATTCAATGCTAGCTGGGTTTATCAAATTCATATAAAAAGATATTAAGAAAATTGTAAAAAAAATCGTGTAAATAGGAAACAAACTTAATTTTAATTAAAAGTTTTTAATAGAAAAGATTCGTATCGCAAAAGAATTCTAAACAAAACATTAAATATCATAGTTAACTAGTACTAAGGATACGTTTAAACGAAAAACCGTCAGTTTCGAGTCAGTTTATACTGACTTAAAAGTTAATACTAAGATTAAGTAGTTCATATATTAACTCCGCTTTGTCTTTAATTTTATCGCCCAAGAAAATGAGTACTCATGTATAATTAAATATTGAACAAGTTATCTATCAAGTGAAAGTATATTTTAATGAGACATTTTTAATATAGATATAATTTTAAATACGAGTATATACATAAAATTTACGCTGTCAAGATTCTTATAAAAAATATAAATACCCTCAAAGCAATGTTTTTTCCTCAATAAAGGATTTGTTCTCAGCAAAAGCGAAATTAATATGCAACGGGCGATATGTGAATTACAATAAGTCAGTAAAAACTTTTTAGAAAGACGTCTATTGAAACAGAAAAATACCTTAGTTTCCATTGTCAGTATTGAAAACACATAAATAGTACGAATGCGAAACGCGATGCATTAAATTAAAAAGTTAAAAAAACATAGCCGTACTAAACCTGTTTGCAAAAATCTCACGATTTTGCGGCGCCGGTTACGAGGCAAGTTTTAATTTTTTTTTTTATTTACACAAAACATTCATATGCATATAAAAATTACACTATATTGGAGAGAAAGATATGAGATCTAAGTAATGCTAAAATACTCACATGTTTTGCTTTCAATGTCTCGAAATCGCCGAGTTTAATTCACTGAGGTTTGAAAATACAATTTCCTTGCGCACTCGTGACCCAGCGAGCATTAGCACTCGCAATGCACCCAACGTGACGTATTGACGTAACCGGCTCACTGACTCACTCATCATGTTGGTAAAATTAATAAGAGTGTTGCAAATGTAAAAAATGTTATATAAAGTTTAGTTTATATAAAATAAGTAATCACGATAAAAGTAAAATATTTTAAACTATCAAGTATATATGTATCTAATTATTTTATGAATAACAAATCACAGCTCTATGAATTTTTCTGATGTATGAGTTTTAATTAATGTTGGATAACTAATTAACTAACTCAAATATTATAAAGATATATAATTTCTTATCGTTATCTTTTATAAAATATAAAATATGTGGATGGTACAGTTTTGTAAAAGTATCTAACTTGTTTTATATTGTATTAAAAACTGGCAGCACCTAACCAGAATTTGAATTTTGAAGATCAAGCCGTCAGTTTCTATATTATGGTATACACTCTATAGTTTTTGGTTAGTCGTTACAGATAAAACGTTAAAGTTTTCAAATGGAGCGTCATGTTTGAAAAACAAACACAGTTTTAAAATATTATTTTATTACTTTATATATCCAAAAGAATTGTGAGCATTGAGCTTATTTATATAAAGTGATATTGTGATATTATTAACGAGTAAGTATTTCATTTGACTATAGGTATATAATGAATATAATGTTATATATGACCAATAAGACTGATTTTCCTATTGATTTCCTTTTATTAATATTTTAATAAATATAAAATATTTAACTTGCTAAATTTCAGAGCATATTTAATAATAAGATGTCTTATAAATATGTGAATTGACTTTTCAAACAAACAAAAGCTTGTCAATATTAAAATAACCGTCTTTATAGTTTAGTAATTTACGCGGTAAAATATCGTTGTTTTATTAATATCTTACTCTTTTTATACATTAATGTAACGCCCTAGTTTTTTTATCAGTTCCGTAATTGTTTTCTACACTTCTCTAATAAGATATGCGTAACTAAAATAAGGTTCAAAGAATTCAAAATTAACAATCTTTAACTTGCTTAGGTATATTGTTTATTAACAATTGTACTATAAATTTATAAATAATGTATATTTCTAATAAATTTTAATGTAATAAACATCCATTTTCGGTTTAAAGCCATTTGTTTCTCATAAGAACACAAAAGTTCACTTATTTAATTTTGCATGCAAAGGGTACATTTAAAAGTCTGCCTTAAGAATTATATACAGTGAAATAAAACATGTTTAGGTAGGGTTTTTTTCTATTATAATATTATGTTTTCAGTAATTTTTTGCTATGGCGTCAGTGGAGGCTAGATTGAACAAACTTCGTGAAGAACGCATAGCTCGAGAAAAGGCAAGGATTGAAAAGGTCAGTAATAGTAACCAGGTTTTATTTATTAAATATTTACTTTTAAATATAGGGAGAGGAGCTTGTACGGTGGAGGTGAGCGTTTAACATTAGATAGGGGTCCCTTAAACCTACACCTGGGTCACAAGTCCCAGTCACTGTTGAAGCTCCTCTCACTACAACGATGGACCCCGCTATTTACTGCACATAAATTATTTAAAATATATGTACATACATATAAACAATTTTTATGTATAAGCTCATTTTATTTGAGTTTATTGATTTTATTTTAAATATGTATATATATTTTAAACCTATATATTATATTGTCATCTTTAATGTTACATGTGAGACGGGTCAATCTGTTTAAGATCAGAGATCTATCTTTAATGGTTCCGTTGTGTGAGTGTGTGAATCATTTAAAACATATCTATTATATTGTCATCTTTAATGTTACATGTGAGACGGGTCAATCTGTTTAAGATCAGAGATCTATCTTTAATGGTTCCGTTGTGTGAGTGTGTGAGTGTGTGAATCATTTAAAACATATCTATTATATTGTCATCTTTAATGTTACATGTGAGACGGGTCAATCTGTTTAAGATCAGAGATCTATCTTTAATGGTTCCGTTGTGTGAGTGTGTGAATCATTTAAAACATATCTATTATATTGTCATCTTTAATGTTACATGTGAGACGGGTCAATCTGTTTAAGATCAGAGATCTATCTTTAATGGTTCCGTTGTGTGAGTGTGTGAGTGTGTGAATCATTTAAAACATATCTATTATATTGTCATCTTTAATGTTACATGTGAGACGGGTCAATCTGTTTAAGATCAGAGATCTATCTTTAATGGTTCCGTTGTGTGAGTGTGTGAGTGTGTGAATCATTTAAAACATATCTATTATATTGTCATCTTTAATGTTACATGTGAGACGGGTCAATCTGTTTAAGATCAGAGATCTATCTTTAATGGTTCCGTTGTGTGAGTGTGTGAATCATTTAAAACATATCTATTATATTGTCATCTTTAATGTTACATGTGAGACGGGTCAATCTGTTTAAGATCAGAGATCTATCTTTAATGGTTCCGTTGTGTGAGTGTGTGAGTGTGTGAATCATTTAAAACATATCTATTATATTGTCATCTTTAATGTTACATGTGAGACGGGTCAATCTGTTTAAGATCAGAGATCTATCTTTAATGGTTCCGTTGTGTGAGTGTGTGAGTGTGTGAATGATTTAAAACATATCTATTATATTGTCATCTTTAATGTTACATGTGAGACGGGTCAATCTGTTTAAGATCAGAGATCTATCTTTAATGGTTCCGTTGTGTGAGTGTGTGAATCATTTAAAACATATCTATTATATTGTCATCTTTAATGTTACATGTGAGACGGGTCAATCTGTTTAAGATCAGAGATCTATCTTTAATGGTTCCGTTGTGTGAGTGTGTGAGTGTGTGAATCATTTAAAACATATCTATTATATTGTCATCTTTAATGTTACATGTGAGACGGGTCAATCTGTTTAAGATCAGAGATCTATCTTTAATGGTTCCGTTGTGTGAGTGTGTGAGTGTGTGAATCATTTAAAACATATCTATTATATTGTCATCTTTAATGTTACATGTGAGACGGGTCAATCTGTTTAAGATCAGAGATCTATCTTTAATGGTTCCGTTGTGTGAGTGTGTGAGTGTGTGAATCATTTAAAACATATCTATTATATTGTCATCTTTAATGTTACATGTGAGACGGGTCAATCTGTTTAAGATCAGAGATCTATCTTTAATGGTTCCGTTGTGTGAGTGTGTGAGTGTGTGAATGATTTAAAACATATCTATTATATTGTCATCTTTAATGTTACATGTGAGACGGGTCAATCTGTTTAAGATCAGAGATCTATCTTTAATGGTTCCGTTGTGTGAGTGTGTGAGTGTGTGAATCATTTAAAACATATCTATTATATTGTCATCTTTAATGTTACATGTGAGACGGGTCAATCTGTTTAAGATCAGAGATCTATCTTTAATGGTTCCGTTGTGTGAGTGTGTGAATCATTTAAAACATATCTATTATATTGTCATCTTTAATGTTACATGTGAGACGGGTCAATCTGTTTAAGATCAGAGATCTATCTTTAATGGTTCCGTTGTGTGAGTGTGTGAGTGTGTGAATGATTTAAAACATATCTATTATATTGTCATCTTTAATGTTACATGTGAGACGGGTCAATCTGTTTAAGATCAGAGATCTATCTTTAATGGTTCCGTTGTGTGAGTGTGTGAGTGTGTGAATGATTTAAAACATATCTATTATATTGTCATCTTTAATGTTACATGTGAGACGGGTCAATCTGTTTAAGATCAGAGATCTATCTTTAATGGTTCCGTTGTGTGAGTGTGTGAGTGTGTGAATGATTTAAAACATATCTATTATATTGTCATCTTTAATGTTACATGTGAGACGGGTCAATCTGTTTAAGATCAGAGATCTATCTTTAATGGTTCCGTTGTGTGAGTGTGTGAGTGTGTGAATCATTTAAAACATATCTATTATATTGTCATCTTTAATGTTACATGTGAGACGGGTCAATCTGTTTAAGATCAGAGATCTATCTTTAATGGTTCCGTTGTGTGAGTGTGTGAATCATTTAAAACATATCTATTATATTGTCATCTTTAATGTTACATGTGAGACGGGTCAATCTGTTTAAGATCAGAGATCTATCTTTAATGGTTCCGTTGTGTGAGTGTGTGAGTGTGTGAATGATTTAAAACATATCTATTATATTGTCATCTTTAATGTTACATGTGAGACGGGTCAATCTGTTTAAGATCAGAGATCTATCTTTAATGGTTCCGTTGTGTGAGTGTGTGAATCATTTAAAACATATCTATTATATTGTCATCTTTAATGTTACATGTGAGACGGGTCAATCTGTTTAAGATCAGAGATCTATCTTTAATGGTTCCGTTGTGTGAGTGTGTGAATCATTTAAAACATATCTATTATATTGTCATCTTTAATGTTACATGTGAGACGGGTCAATCTGTTTAAGATCAGAGATCTATCTTTAATGGTTCCGTTGTGTGAGTGTGTGAATCATTTAAAACATATCTATTATATTGTCATCTTTAATGTTACATGTGAGACGGGTCAATCTGTTTAAGATCAGAGATCTATCTTTAATGGTTCCGTTGTGTGAGTGTGTGTGAATCATTTAAAACATATCTATTATATTGTCATCTTTAATGTTACATGTGAGACGGGTCAATCTGTTTAAGATCAGAGATCTATCTTTAATGGTTCCGTTGTGTGAGTGTGTGAATCATTTAAAACATATCTATTATATTGTCATCTTTAATGTTACATGTGAGACGGGTCAATCTGTTTAAGATCAGAGATCTATCTTTAATGGTTCCGTTGTGTGAGTGTGTGAGTGTGTGAATCATTTAAAACATATCTATTATATTGTCATCTTTAATGTTACATGTGAGACGGGTCAATCTGTTTAAGATCAGAGATCTATCTTTAATGGTTCCGTTGTGTGAGTGTGTGAGTGTGTGAATCATTTAAAACATATCTATTATATTGTCATCTTTAATGTTACATGTGAGACGGGTCAATCTGTTTAAGATCAGAGATCTATCTTTAATGGTTCCGTTGTGTGAGTGTGTGAGTGTGTGAATCATTTAAAACATATCTATTATATTGTCATCTTTAATGTTACATGTGAGACGGGTCAATCTGTTTAAGATCAGAGATCTATCTTTAATGGTTCCGTTGTGTGAGTGTGTGAGTGTGTGAATCATTTAAAACATATCTATTATATTGTCATCTTTAATGTTACATGTGAGACGGGTCAATCTGTTTAAGATCAGAGATCTATCTTTAATGGTTCCGTTGTGTGAGTGTGTGAGTGTGTGAATCATTTAAAACATATCTATTATATTGTCATCTTTAATGTTACATGTGAGACGGGTCAATCTGTTTAAGATCAGAGATCTATCTTTAATGGTTCCGTTGTGTGAGTGTGTGAGTGTGTGAATCATTTAAAACATATCTATTATATTGTCATCTTTAATGTTACATGTGAGACGGGTCAATCTGTTTAAGATCAGAGATCTATCTTTAATGGTTCCGTTGTGTGAGTGTGTGAGTGTGTGAATCATTTAAAACATATCTATTATATTGTCATCTTTAATGTTACATGTGAGACGGGTCAATCTGTTTAAGATCAGAGATCTATCTTTAATGGTTCCGTTGTGTGAGTGTGTGAGTGTGTGAATGATTTAAAACATATCTATTATATTGTCATCTTTAATGTTACATGTGAGACGGGTCAATCTGTTTAAGATCAGAGATCTATCTTTAATGGTTCCGTTGTGTGAGTGTGTGAATCATTTAAAACATATCTATTATATTGTCATCTTTAATGTTACATGTGAGACGGGTCAATCTGTTTAAGATCAGAGATCTATCTTTAATGGTTCCGTTGTGTGAGTGTGTGAGTGTGTGAATGATTTAAAACATATCTATTATATTGTCATCTTTAATGTTACATGTGAGACGGGTCAATCTGTTTAAGATCAGAGATCTATCTTTAATGGTTCCGTTGTGTGAGTGTGTGAATCATTTAAAACATATATATTATATTGTCATCTTTAATGTTACATGTGAGACGGGTCAATCTGTTTAAGATCAGAGATCTATCTTTAATGGTTCCGTTGTGTGAGTGTGTGAGTGTGTGAATCATTTAAAACATATCTATTATATTGTCATCTTTAATGTTACATGTGAGACGGGTCAATCTGTTTAAGATCAGAGATCTATCTTTAATGGTTCCGTTGTGTGAGTGTGTGAATCATTTAAAACATATATATTATATTGTCATCTTTAATGTTACATGTGAGACGGGTCAATCTGTTTAAGATCAGAGATCTATCTTTAATGGTTCCGTTGTGTGAGTGTGTGAGTGTGTGAATCATTTAAAACATATCTATTATATTGTC